TAAGGCCCCTACTATAGAACCCTAGAAACTATCCCTTATAGAACCCTATTCTACCCAAAACCCTCTTCTAATTATTAAGGCCCCTACATTATCAGCCGAGTCTCTCGTACATTTTCCCATGGAGGGTGCCCAAAAGCTTCCTGCAGTGGAGCTGCAGAAAAAGCGCAAAGCCCTGCTTTCGGGGTTTTCGCGTTCAGTGACATTTGGGATTCGGGGCCCTAAACCCTAAACCCTAAACCTTGAACCCTAAACCCTTAAACCCTAAACCTTAAACCGCCCTAAACCCTGAACTTTCGAAGCCCAGGACTTCGGCGTTTGGGGCTCTGGGTGGCGGGCCTCGGGACCGGTTGGGCAAACAGACGAGAAAGGCCCAGAGTTGAGGTGCAGACCTTGGCCCCTAACCCTAAACCCTACCTTAACCTACCAAAACCTACTTTTTTGTAGGGTCCCGATAAATTCCCTTTTGGGGTTTATATTAAGAACCTACAAAAAAGTAGGTTTTTGGTAGGTTGAGGCAAGCCCTTAATCCGAATCCCGAGACCCTAAACCGTAAGCCCTAAACCCGTAATCCTAAACCCTAAACCCCTTAACCCTAAACCCTGCAAACCCTAAACCCCTAAACCCTAAAAATCTGGGGGCTTTTGTTTGGTGGAATGAAAAACCTTGAACGACTCAAGTCTGGCTCAGGCCAGAACCTGAAAGATCGCTAAACTTCCCTAAACCCTACCAAAAAAAAAAAGCCCTGCAAACCCTACACCCCCCCCAGGAATTACGGGAACCCAAAACAAGGTTTAGGGTTTTAGGAAAAGGGTTAGGCTTAGGGTTTAGGGTTTTGGGGTTTAGGGTTCTGGGGGCAGGGGGATCCCCAAAACAGAAAGCCCCGAGATCGGAGGTCCTCTGGGCTGCTTGCAGCTCACCGCGCCGCGCCTCCGCCGAATCGAGGAGCTTCGAGCACCTCCGAGGCTTTTTCTCTAGGTGCTAAAAAAGGAGAAAGAACGATAAATGCATGTCTACAGTATACTATACCGTCATTACTTATCGTGACTAGATGTTATGTTGTAGTTTCGTTTCTGACTACAAGTAAAGAAAGCTTCCGGGGCGCCATTCGAAGTCGAGGTCGAGGTGCGCCAGCTCCAACTTATGCTGCGACACATGTGCCTCGCGCGGATCCGGGGTTCGGGTTTAGGGTTTAGGGTTCCATGGGACTTTGGGTTTAGGGTTTAGATCCCAGGGTTTAGGGATCTAGGGTTTAGGATTTAGGGTTCCATAGATTTTGGGTTTAGGGTTTAGAGATCTAGGGTTTAGGGTTTAGGGTTCTGCAGAGCAAGGTTTGGGTCTACGGTTTAGAGTTTGGGGCCTATAGGGTTTGGAAGAAATCGCAAACCCGCTAACTCCCTGTGAGCCCCAAAGCTCTCACAACTTACGCCCTGGGCAGGTGGAGGTCGACGTCGCCAAAACAAGTGGCATCCTGGTCCATCCAATTAGAATGGGGTTTAGGGTTTAGGGGTTTACCGCACATTATACTATTCGTATAATAAGGAATCCCCCTGCGCAACAAAGGCTCGGATCCTCAAAGCTTGATAGGGGGGGGGTTTCCGAAAATAGGGGTACCCTAGACAGTAGGATCCTTATTACAAGAACCCTCAAATAAGGTACCCCTTGTTTTCGGAAACTCCCATATAGGAACTTGATTAAGAAACCCTGGGTCTTTAGTAGGGCTCATAATATGAGTCCTACTATATTTAGTGGTATAGGGCCAAGGTTTCTTAATCAGGATCCTGCATTACACGGTAGAGTGCGCAACGAAGGGTTTAGGGTTTAGGGTTTAGGGTTTAGGGTTGCATGCATGCCAGAACCCACAATCCACAAGACTGCGCAGGCGTGGGCTTGGCCTGCAACTGCTGACATCGCTGCTCTCGCTGCTTGATCTGCGCTTCGGCCTCCGAAACACTCAGAATCTTGGCTGCAAAACTTCTTACCCATCTTGGGGTTTCAGTTCCAGCGGAAGTCCTTGCCCTGTACCGGAGCCTCACACGGATGTTGAACTGGAGTTAACAGCAGCAATTCGGTACTGCAAATGACATGAACGCAGGCAGGATAGGTCAATGTGAGTGTGTGTTTGCTTGCAGTCGTGACCAACCACCATTTTGATTCGCTTATGCCAGTCACATTAAATCGAAGGTCAAACGGTCGACGTCCACACCACGGTGCTGCCCTTTCCTCCTGTTTCTTGCTGGTTGTGAATTTTGCTGATTTCGCAGTTTGCGCATGATACTCGGAAGCTGGCGGCTAGTGGCAAACAGAGGCTAGCCTACACGAGCAACAGTGTTTGATGCAAGCTTCGGATTCTGCCGCATGGGAGCGTCGTCGCTGTTTCAGCCCTGCCTGAGCTGCGAAGTTGTGTTTTAGCAGGTTCCTTTGGAGCTTTGAGACCTCTCGGCTGTTTAGGGTCATGATTGGCAGTAGCTCGATCTTCACCGGCTAGGGCGCACAGAAACGCAAGCTTTCGCTGTAGGATCTTCGGACATCCGGATTCCTAACTCCTCCGTAAAGTCGTAAGCCCTGAAACCCCTCCAGCCTTTTCATGGGTTAAACCACATTGCTGAAGAAGATCCTTACGGCACCCGTTATTGAAACCTTCTAGACCACGGCTATGCACCCAAGAACACCCATAGGGTACAGATCCGCACTCCCCCAATTAACAACTTATATAGCACTTACAAAGGGCTTAGGGGTTTAGGGGTTTGGGGCTTCGGGGAAGCTCCAGTACAACCTTTAACCTGAAGACCTTAAATACCCTGAACCCGAAACCGTAATGTAGGGGTCTTTGTCATTAGAAAAGGGTTTTGGGGCCCATTCATACTATATTTATTATCAGGAAACCCCCCAGGCAATTCTTTAGGCCCCTCGAAATCCTGTACTGCGCTCTGGCACCTCCGCGATGCTCCGCATCCTTGGAAAGCTCCGAGTTTCCGAAGATGTGTTGTCTTAGGGTTTAGAATTTAGGGTTTCAGGGTTTAGGTTTAGGGTTTAGGATAAAGATGGTGAAAAACGTGGTGTTTCGCAAGTCTAGCATTTGGTCAGGTTGTAGATGTGAAAAAATGGTGTGTTTTCGATTTGGGCACTCTCTGGTTCTGTTTTGGCAGGCGTTGTTATCTATGCTAAGATCCGTTGGGGGGGCTGGCGGGGTTGAGCTGCAGGGGAAAGAGTTTCAAAGGCTTTTCGCCTCGGGCGCTGCGAATCCCTTGGCTTTGGGGGTTTAAGACTTGTCCTTTTCTGAAGGTACGCGAGGCGAATCCCATGTCTTTAGGGTTTTAGGGTTCAGGGTTTAGGGCTTATTAGGGTTTATGGTTTTAGGGTTTAGGGTTTTAGGGTCTAGGGTTTATTAGGGTTTATGGTTTTAGGGTTTTAGGGTGTTTAAGGTTTGTGTTTTTTCTGAGGGTACACGAGGCCCCAGGTGCCAAGCAGCTCGGAAAATTACAGGAACCAACAGGGTTTAGGGTTTAGGGTTTAGGGCACACAGCCGGATAGCTCCAAACCACGACGCTTACAACCGGATCTCGCTGCTGGGGCCGGTGCAGAGTGTCCAGACGCCGGCCCTTCTCGGAGAAAGCCTTTGTAGCAGAATTCTGGCCGAGGGTTTCTGGTTTAATATGGGGCCCTCAATAGTTAGAATAAGGTTTGGAGGTATATTATACTATACTATAACTACAATAAGGAACCCCCAAAAACCCTATTCTAATTATTAAGGCTCGTACATAAGGGCGTAGTTTCCCCGAATTAAGGCTTCAGGTGGAGGAGGCGATTGCGTAGCTCATCGTGGCATCCCGGTCTATGAAAGTCTCAGCACTTGCAGCGGCCGAGGCCGCAGCTACTCTAAGCTGCCATACCCTACCGTGACGACCATGGTATACCCCTTGACCCACACAAGGCCTGTATGGTTAACTTAGGCGCAAAGGCACCCATGAGCTGCAACATGCATGGACCAAAATGGTCACTAAGAGAAATCGGGCAATCGAGCAAGTCAACCTGATTCTTGCCCGAAGTTGTGCTGATTATGTTGGCCGTCATCAATAGGGTGCCATGGCAAGGATGCTGGCCGGAGTTACAAACCTGCCCAATCTGGCACATGCCCCTACCCCTAGCAGCGCAGCCGAAGCTTCGCAGCATACGCTAGAAAGGCAGGCCCAGCAAAAGGGATCGCAGCAGTGGTGGGCGTGGCATGAGCAGAAGCAGTAGCATGCAGCGCAAAACCCTCTAAAGCACATGACCCTAGACCCTAAACCCTAACCCTCACCCTCAACTCTAAACCCCCAAACCCCTGTACCTGGGTACCGTGACTGTACTACAATTCCGACTCTAGACGTTGCTCCGTGACCTACCGGCTTGTTTCGGGTTCAGGGCTTAGGGCTTTAGGGTTAACTGGCTAACCAGGTTGTGTTCCGTGCGCTCGCATCGACTATTGAGCATTCCTAGTTTAGGACATGGACCCCTAGCCCCATAGTCCTCAGAACAAAGGTCCTGAGCCCCGAAACTCAAGGACATCTAGAACAAGGGTACCAAGATCCTCATCCCACGGAGTGGGAAAGGAACGAACGAGCCGGGGCTTCGACCATGAGACTACCAGAAATGGTTTAGGGTTAGGATGTTTGGGCTTAGGGTGTTTAGAGTCCAGTTGCTGTACAAGTCGTAGTCATGGCAATGCTTTCATGTAAACCCTACAAAGGAGTAGGCATTGAATAGTTGCTTAAGGCATACTCTGCGGACCTCCAGGAACATCTTGGCAGAGAACTCCTCCACCGTCTTCGGGTCAACCTGGGCAGCTGCACAAACCTTAGGGCTGATGCCGATGCAGATTTTACGAAGACGAGGATAGCAATGATGACGGTGATAGTGACGGTGGGTGGTGGGTGGTGGGTGGTGGTGCGTGCTGGTGCTTGCCGGTGCGTGGTTTTCATGGTGACGGTGACTACAATGGTTCTCATCATCACCGTGAAGACTAAGAAACTGACCATGTCCACAGCCGTCGCAGACACAAGCCTAATCAAAAGAAATGTTGGAGTCTAGAAAGAAACATATGCATATTTCACCTTAGGGGCGTAATATGTTGTCACCGCTCGAGTTTTTATCTTTTCCATCACCAGCAAGCTTCCTCATCACAAGCATATGCACAATCAGCGTTACCATGCCCGTCAACATGGTCACCACCACCGCCATCGTCGCCGCCACTCCGAACGCTTTTGAGCTGTGGAACCCCTCACTGAACCCTCAGCCTCACGAACCTTCCCCATTATAGAGCTCTTAGAGAACCCGAACCCCATGCCGCAGCAAAGGCCCCCGCCCCAGGTGCGGAAGCCACCGGAGCAGCAGTCGGAGGTGGAGAAGGCGCTAGAGAGGTCTGGATAGCCTACAAAGAGTGGGCTCATCGGGTTTTTGACACTTGGTACACTTCTGGATTTGTGCGTCGGATTTAAGGTTTAGGGCGAAATTTAAGGGATTTTTGATAACAGTATTGGTAATTATTTAGGACCCTACATTACTTGTAGTTCAAGCCCACACGCAGATTTACGACCGATGGCGACTGTAGTTGCACGTGAAAACCCACGCTGGGAGAGCAGCTGCCACCCGGCCTTGAAGAGCACATGAGCTCCAGCTTCATAGGTTTCCCCTTAAATTAAACCCTAAGCCCTGGTTCTCAAACCCCGAAAATAAACGGATCTCAAATTTCAGAACCAAAAGATATACTCACAGGTGCCCGGTATAGGGAGCTTCATAATTTGATTCTAGACTGATAAAGAGAACTCTCAAGAAATGATGTTATTAGTCATTCATACATATGTATGTATATATATATATATATGAATGTAAACATACATAAATAAATGAATAAACAAATAAATAATAACAACATATATATATATATATATGTATAATCAATAAGGCTTTAAGGCTTGGCCGGGCTTTCGTGCTCGTTCGATCGGCGCCTCCTCGAGGGATCCGTCCTCCAAAGCTGCGATAAGCTGCTTTTCGATTCTCTGGCGCACATCATCCGCGGCCTCACCTGCTTAGCTGAAACTGAGATAATGTAGGGGACTTAATAATTAGAATAAGTTTTTGGGGTACGTTGTCTTATATTCATGCGAAATTACAGAATAAGGAATCCCTTGCAAAATATAGTATTGGTAAGTATTTAGGCCCCTGCATTAGCGATATGCACGTACCCGCAACCGCAAAAATTTTCACAGAGCCAGAGTGCAGGCTGCCTCATTACCATCACCCTCAAAATGGTGATCAGGAAGATGAGGAGTATCTTTGTCATCACATAATAACCATAGATATCACCAGTCTCGCCACCATTTTCGATATCGTCATCACCATCACCGTCCAAACGAACCACATGATCGTGCGATTCTCATTGTTGTCATGACGGGAACCAGAGGCACGACCAGACAACCCACCAGGGCACACTGCCACCAACACCATCGCCTCGGCCACTGAGGGAACACACCCGCCAACACCGCCCCCACACTTGCCAAGGAGAAGTCCGCCTTGGCCAGCACCGACACCGATCAGCGCCTAGCGGAAGGCCGGGTTCTAGTGTCTTGGGGCCACGGTTTAACGTTTAAGGTCTAGGGCCGTTTAAAAACGGGCTCGTAAGCTTTCGGGGGTGTGGTTTGAGGTGGTTTCTCGGATTTGAGTTTTGGGGTGGTGGGTTTAGGGTCTGGGCGGTCTGGGGCCTACTGTTTGGGGGCTCCAGCCTGAAAGTTAGGGGCTTAGGGTACAGGGTTTTGGGGGTTCGCGGTCTTCGGGTTTTTTTCTCAAAAGTCAGAGTTGAGGGCATGGGATCTAGAAATTTGTTGCGCGGAATTCGGTGGTCGCAGGCTCAGGCGGGCGACCCTCCAAGGGCGCTTTGTTCTGTTCGCAATGCCACAACCATCAACCTGACAACTCTGCCAGTATCATAGACATTGTGAAAGGTTTAGGGTTTAGTGTTTAGGGAACCTAAACCCTAAACCCTAAACCCCTAAACCCTAAACCCTAAACCCTAAACCCCTAAACCCTAAACCCCAATCTGCGTTCTAGAGAGGTCCTGCAGGAAGAGCCGACCAAGATCGAAAAGGGGAGACCCCAAGGCCCCAAAACCCGGGACCCTGGGCTTTGGGTTTAGGGTTTAGGGTTTAGGGTTTAGGGCCCATTGTAGTTCCTTTTGGGGTTACCTTATAGGATCCTAAATATAGAATTGGTTAAGCCAAAAAAAGGAACTACAATGGAGACTATAGGTAAGCCCAAGACCCTAAACCCTAAACCCTAAACCCTAAACCCTAAAC